GTCCCGCCCTCAGCGCGTCCCTCCCCGTGTCCGTCCCGCCCTCAGCGCGTCCCTTCTCCCGCCCGTCCCGCCCTCAGCCCGTCCCGCCCTTAGGGCGTCCCTCCCCGTGTCCGTCTCTCCCACAAAGCGTCTCTCCCTGCATGCGTCCTTGTCCCAGCATGTCCCGCCCCTGCCCGTCCCGCTCTCGCCGTGTCGCGTTCTGCGGCTGTCGCGGAGCGGTCGCGGTTACCCGGGAAGCGCGTATCAGCTGTCCCACCTAAGAGACCCTTAATATGCAGTGATACAGATATATATTATGCGCCAGATGCAGCTGTTCCTTAAAAACTTCCAGGTATGGTGACTCMACCAYCTCCCTGGGCACCCTTTTCCGATGCATGACTACCGTGACAGTGATAATTTTCTTTTTTTCATAATAAGTAATCTAAATCTCTCCTGTATCAGCTTAAGGCCGTTTCTTCTTGTCCTCTCACTGCAGGCGTGGCAGGAGAGGCTGAGCCCTACCTCACCACACCCTCCTTCCAGGGAGTTGTAGATACTTGGTTCAGACAAAATTCTCAGTGATCCGTGAAAATAAATGATAACATATGCAGCAGTGGCTAAGGCCACTTCTGAGAGTATCTTACTCCCAAATCCTCCTCTGACAGACATGCAGACATTTGTGACATTCTGGGCCTGTCTGTGAGGTTTTTAATGGAACTGAAAATCAGTAATTTCAGTTGTTACAATTTTATGGTACATGTCTGGTGTTTTTTTTTGTTTGTTTGCTTGTTTCATCTGGTTGGTTGTTTTGTTTTGGTGAGGAATATGAAGCAGAGCTGAGCCTCAAGGCCTCATCAACACACAATRTTAGCATCACATACTGTAGTTACTGCACAGTTATTCTTTTTTTCTGTTCACTAAGGAAAACTGCACCCTTCTGATAGACTGCAGTCACTGGTTGAACACAACTAGCAGACTCTAAGGTATATAATACTACGTGAGAGATAGCCTAAGAAATTGCCTCAATTTCAAATCAGAGATGGCCTTGGTGWGTGACATAGTGTGATATATCAGTGCAGAAGTGACACTCAAAAAGGATGCTATGTTTTACAAAGGAATGAATTTTGTAAATTACAGTGAGGACACATTATAACTTTTTCTCCTTTGTGTGACTAAGAATTACAGACCATATAAAATGTTTGTATATAGCAGACCAGTTCTCTAGAAACAGTTCAGTTGTCTGAGACTGTCTCATAGACAAGAAAATTTGCTGACAACAAATCCATACTAGTCATTTCTACTGGTCAAGTACATTGATCACAGTCACACGTGCCTACAAATGCAGGCATAGCTTTTTTTAGGGGAGCTAAATGACTGTTATAGAAAGAGATCTGAGTAAAATACAGCCCGTACAAAAATGGTTGCATTTATGCRATGGGTAATACATACTTCATGTTTTTGTGAAAAATTTCCAGACAAAAAAATAAAAACCTATAAAACTATAGTTTTTTATTTTTTTTATAGTTAAAACTATACGCAGGCATTACTAATATACCCTGTATGGATTATAACAATATAATTTCAGGAATTACATAGGGTTAAAAGTGATGCTGTAGGCTGTTGAACTTTACGATTCAAAAAATTAACTAATAATTTATTAAAACACGTGCCACTCAATACTGGCTATGCAAAACAATTTGTGAATGAGACTTTAATACTGAGAATTATTATAATGAAGTTTAACCCAAAAGCTCACTGATTGAAATAACAGCTCATTAAGTGATGCTTAATTGTAATATTTGAGGCAAGCCTCTAATGTGCTACATCTCAATGAGTTTTAGTTTGGACCCTAATATACTGCCTACCCTATAAGACATTTCTCCAACTAAGCAACATAGCTTTAAGCTCTGCTTGTTCCTTGCAATTGCTTTTGTGCTCCAGGTTCTTCCTGCACAAATGTTTACCACCAGCTCCACAGAATGGACACACCCTTCTTTCCTGGGGCAAGTTCCTTGTTCAATAAAAGAAGCAGGAAAAAAATGCCTCCAGAACACAAATAATTAAGTTCTGGAATAACTTTGCAATGACAGAATAATATTTTGCATATTATAGTCTAAAAATGACAGATGATTGAACCCCTGTGCTTTTCATTATCCAGTACTAAAGCAGTAGAACTGGAAGTAAGAGGAYATACAGTTAAATATATACATTTAATACAAAGCACAAAAGTAAGAAAAAAAATAGTACAGAAACTGTGAACTATTCCAATCCAGGCAGTTTCACATTACCTAACACTCACTAATAAAGGCCTGGCCAGACCAGTTCCAACCAATTGTGTTCTGTGAACTCTTGTGTTCCTGTGTGGTGTCTAAACCTTTGGTTCTGTTGTAGTATTGTCTTTTATTTCAATGGGAGAGCCAACTCACACTTGAGGATTTAATGGATGTATTTACACACAATAATGAGAAGCAGAATACAATAGAGTACTTCTAGCTGGAAGGGACCTGCAATGATTGTTTAGGGCAATTGCTTGACCATTTCAAGGCTACTCAGTGTGATGGTTGTCACAGTAATAGTTACCATACTAGGCAAACTAAAATTATATCCAGTAATGCTTTATTCAAGAATTACACAGCCTAAGACGACAAGTGTATGTAGTTTATGCCCTCAGACACAGACTTCTTACAGCCCTAAAACTTGACTGGCATGATAAAAAACATTGGAAGAGCCTTGGTCTTTGAAACAGGTAATGTGCTTGCAGCTTTAACATAATCGTAGGAAGAAAATTCCATGATGATCCAGTGATGAGAACCATTTGCCAGCAGCAATTCTTTTCAAATATGAAGATCTAGTACATATCAAAAGTGCCTGAGTTTGTCAGTGAATTTGAATTCTCTCATCTCCTTTCCATGGACTATATCCTTTGCAACTTTGGGGGATGTTAGCTTCCCATGGCCACATAATTTGTTTGTCTTATTCTGTTTTTTCTTCCTTGTCCTTGTTACGTCTAAAGSAGTGTTCTCACCTCTTTTCTCAAAAACAAAAACCAGAAGCTGACCACTAGTGAGATGTTTACAGTCTCATGGCCTCTGTTTTCAGCCTGTGCACATCTTTTCAAGGTCTCTGGTATTATCCCACACTTAAACACCACATCTTAACAAAAGACACCTGATAACTCAGCTTCAGTTTGCACTGAGTAAATTCACTCAAGCTAATAACAAACCTAACAGCACCAGTTTTTGTGGCCTTGCAATGCTAGCAGTGGGTTTCTTACTAGCAATGCCAGTATCATTTTTATTGGGCCATCCACACAACAGTGACAGGCAGTATATTGYCTTGTGGTGACAGCAAGAATTTGATTTCTGCAGATCTTCTTTATTTCAGCCCAGCATCTGAATTTTAGTTTCCACACAAGTTCTGACAAGCTAAGATGAGCAGCTCCCTTTTGCTCTGACCATCTTTGTTGTGCAACTTTGAGAACAAGCCTATGTATAGTGAATGAATCCAGATGTGCTCACAGTTCAGTAATGGATCGACTTGTCCTCTCACCAGATCTAGTCGAGTTTAAGTGACTGTTTAAATGACCTCCACAAAAAGAAGTGAGATACTGAGATTACATACAATATTTGGGAGGGCTGGCTGTGATAATGCAAATGAGACAACTGTTACTGACAACCAATGATTAAGGGTTATGGAGGCAGAAAGGGATTCAGGAGGGAAAAGACATGARGAGAAACTAGGGAATAGTGACAGAATACAGTGGCACTGGCTGAGACTGGGCCAGTGGGTTGCTCAGAATGGTGTGAAGCCCAAAAGCTGAGAAATGGAAGAAGCTGGACTGACAGTTGGGGGRCAGAAACTTGAAGGATACTGGTTTCATGAGAAATGCTGCTGGAAATAGCTGCTGAGGGGACTGAGTCATGAAACTCAAAGAGTCTTTCCCTAGTGCTATGAATAATATGAGACAAATGGGGCTACAAATAAGGGGTCTGCATGAGAAAAAGGTAGATGATATTAAACATGATCTTTTTTTCCTGAAAATCACAAGTGAAAGGCTATCATCCATTAGAACATATTTGAAATTAATGAAGATCTAGACTTTAACTRGAGGCCTACCATCAATATATTTTCTCCCTCCTTTTGCACAACTGTGTTCTCTCTTTCAGTTATTTCCTGAGCTGAAGGAACAGAGATCTCTATGTTCCAACCCTGTGTTTATCACTGGGATGTACTGCTTTCTGACTTGRCAATGCATATAATTAGGGTAATGTCACAAAGAACATATTTAGGGCTATGAACCCGTCAAATGATAAGGGCTGCTAGTCTCAAGATTTTTCAGTCATCATTTTTGCCTCTTTTAGCATATTTGGTGAGCAGTCAGTATAATATCCCCCTAAAGAGCAATCTTGYCCCCGTACCAAATATAGTGGAGCTTACTGTCCTAGTCTGTGTATCCCATGTTTTGAAAGACAGCAGAAAGAAAATGACCAAAGCTTTAGGGAAGAGAAAGCTGGTTCCTAGATGAGCCAGTTCTGATTCACTG